ATGTAAGAAAAACAATAGATGATTTAAAAAAAGTGATGAAAAATTTTGAATCCAGAGTTGAATTCACAGAAGATTTGCAGAAAATGAGTGATGTGGGTATTTATTTTTAGTCTCAAATTTTTTAGAAAATATTTTCAAAGAAAATTTTTTTTTGTATTGTAATATCTTAGAACCAAGGAATGAATGAATTGTTGTTTCAAATGCTTTCAGACATCTTTCTTAGTTGGTATGATTGCTTTTATAGTAATTTTATGTGTTAGAGATTTGTGTTGTTAACATAATTTTTCTTTTGCTTAAAATTTTAGGCTGCAGGTGATATTGTTGAAATTAAAAGTGACTTTGAGTTTAAAGGTAAGCAATGATATTGTTATGTAAAATTATTTAGGTATTTATATTGTTGATTCTTAAGGTTTTTTTGTGAGATATTAGGCATAATATACATTTTTAAATTCATGAGATACAAACATTTGTTCTATTTATCTATGAATTTTTATTTAAAAATTAAGGGATAAGAATAAATAACTTGATTAAGAACTTTATTTCTAGATGATGTTGTTAAGTGGTGGGATCACATAGCTTTCCCCCGCCTCCCCAAAGTTCTCTAATGACCCAAACCTATAAAAGATGTGAGTTCTAAACATGGATTTGCTTCTAATTGTTTTTTTTTTTATCTTTGCCAAGAATAAAATATCTTTTGCTAGTTTTTCTCCTTTTAAAAAACTGCTGCTTTAGATTCTGTTTTTTTTTTGGAAGGAAGAATGAATATTAGTATATTTTAGCCATTTCTTTTATGGTGTCTGCAGTGTTTTTCAATACACAGGTTGTTCCCAGGTTTATCCAATAGTTTTATTTTGCCAGGGATGGGTTGTATGTTTGGGTTTACTTCTTATAAAGGCAGTGGCTCTTTTGTTGGTTGTAAAGTATTAYAATAATGAAATTTTTTAAAGTATTACAGAAATGGTTTATAATTTGCTTCTATAAAAAACTGTAATAAGAATTGTAATGCATCCTGCTGCCATATATAAATAAAATCCTGTTACTTTTAACATTTATTTTGATTTTTAGAGTTTATATTTTGGTAATTTCCTCTGGAAAAAAAATTAATTAGTTGAAAGTAGAGATACTTTTAGAGGCCATATACTGGCCATAATATCTATACTGAAGTGGCATCACAAGTAATAGGAAGTGGCAGTGGCCTTAGAAGGTGAAATAAAGGAAACATATATTAAAGCTCAGAAAGACAAATTATTTGGAATGACAAGTGAGAAATTTTGCTGCAAGTCTGAAACATAAAAACCATTATTACTGTTTTATCAATAAAGAGAAAAGTATTAAATGTAATTTGGATATTTTCAAATTCAGAAAACAGTGCTATAAATTTGAATATATGATGAATTGGACGTCAACTAGTAGTATCATATCTCATAAAAGACAGTACTTTACATTTCCCATTACTTTCTTCAAAGCTTCAACTGGCTCTATTAAGAAAGATCTTTTTTAAAGTGAAAAGCAGATAGGTTTAAGTTCAGATTGGATTCACCCCTGCCCTCAGATAAGGATTACAAATAAAATTAAGCAATTTAAATACAGAGATGTTTATGTGTAAAATTATAATGGAACTTTCCAGAGATTAGCTTCTATCATTTCTTTCTAGGACAGTCATTCTTAGCTATGCCTTTGAGTTTAAAGTATCCACTTTCAAGGTTTTTACCTGTTACATTAGTAAGTAAATTCTCTGTAAGTTAGGATGATATGTGGATAGTATTACTTGTGTTGAATTTTGCATTATAACCGGGATGCATCATGACTGTTTCTACTTACACATTTTTGAATCTCTGGAGCAGCTCTTTAACAACTTTTAATATACATGTATGTTCTCTGGGGCCCTTGTTGAGATATAGATTATGATTCAGCAGGTTTGGGAGACTACGAGAGTCTACACTTCTGAAATGTTCTCCAGGGATGCCTGTGCTGCTGGTCCATGGACTACATTTTGAGTAGCAAGGCTGTAAGAGACAAGCGTCCTTATAGCTCTGTTGGGTGTAAAAGTCATGTACTCCCTGTGTCTCAATAGGCCGTTTGCTCTTAAAAAAAATCAAAACTAAGTCTAGGTTTGTGTTTTTTTAAGATTAACTGTTAACACTCATGTCTTTTCTTTTTTAAAATAGCCAAACAACGAATTGCTCATAAACCTCATTCCAAACCAAAAACTTCAAATATTTTTGAAGCAAATTTTGCAAATGAAGTAAAATCTGAGGATTTGCTTGCTGATAAGGAACTGTGGGCTCGACTTGAAGAACTAGAGAGACAAGAAGAATTGCTGGGTGAACTTGATAGGTATCTAATAATAAATAAACTTTCCAAAATAAATTTGTTTTTATGCAGAAAGGTATAATAAATTATCAATAATCTTCCCCCCCCAAAATAAATATTAATTCTCTAGAGTACATTTTTAGGACTGTGTGCTTATGTACACTTATGTACATTCTCATGCATGTGCATGTACATGCTTAAGATAAACATCTCCATTTTCTTCTTTTAAGAGTTGACCTATATTTTGTATAATGAAGTAATTATAGCAGTCGATTTTTAATAATTATGGATGCATTAAATATTAAATTTAATGAAGTATTTTTATGCTGTACTCCAAGACGTTTTATCTTTTTAAAAAGAAAAGTTTGGGGCTGAGGCTGTAGCTCAGTGGCAGAGCACTTGCCTAGCATGTGTGAGGAACTGGCTTCAATCCTCAGCACAACATAAAAATAAACAAATAAAATAAAGGCATTGTGTCCATCCACAACTACTAAAAAGTAAAAAAGTTTGCTTTGAATTTTAACTTGAAATTATTAAGTRTTTATCCTTGCCTTCCATTTGCAAACTTTTTTGTTTATTGAATAGGCAGTTTGTAATCTGATCAGGTAGTTTTATGTATGAGAAACTTTACTAAACTGCTATTTGTAATACACATTAGCACTTACTTAGAATTCTCAAAATGCTAAATGAAGTCTGCTACTACCGAAGTTCCTATACTATTTTGCTTAAATGATGTACCATATGCAGTAATTAGTTTCTGTGAAAAATAAGACAAGAAACACAAAAGATTTTGCCCGTACCATTTCACCTATAARTTCTTAGGTCTTTTTGATTAACTGGTACTATTTCACTTTTTAAAACCAGTATTGGATCTTCTGATTTTCTTAGTCATGATTCTCTTTCTATTTTTGCATGATGTTATTTCAGTTCTATTGCATTTTTGGTTTTGTTATTTTTATAAGGTCCTCAACTCCTTTATAGAATGAAGCATGATAAGTGTATATTCATTTGTATAAATGTAAGTATATTCATGTGYATATGTATATGTATTTTCTCTCTTAAAATTACAATAATACATTATTGTATTATTTTAAAATATCTTGAGGATAGAAAAAGAAAATAAAGACACAATTATGTTGCATTAATTTCTACTTTAATAGAAATACATATTCTTTGAATCTCTTGTTGTACTATTGATATTATATTTATATTTTTGGCCAAAATTCAAAGATAAAATTAAACTTTATATTCTACTTATGTGTGAAAAGTACAATGTACAGAAATGGCATAGAAACTAATTTTTTTTAATTCACATAAAAATATTTTTATCCTTTTTTTTTAACCTAGAATTCTAGTTTAAAAAAATACTTTATTCAAAATCTTGTATCCCAGGACTGGGGTTCTGGCTCAGTGGTAGAGTACTCGCCTAGCACGTGCAAGGCACTGGGTTTAATCCTCAGCACCACATAAAAATAAATAAATAAAATAAAGGTATTGTRTCCAACTACAACTAAAAAATAAATATTTAAAGAAAAAATCTTGTAACCCACTGAAATAAGATGAAAATTTGAATAGGTTAAATTCTAGTGTTTTTGTTTTATTTTATTAATATTCTCTTTTTGGTTTTACTAGTAAGCCTGATGCTGTGATTGCAAATGGAGAAGACACAACCTCTTCTGAAGAGGAGAAGGAAGATCAAAACACAAATGTGAATGTGATACATCAAGAAACAAACTACCTTACTCCCAGCAGTTATCATAAGGATGTTACACATTCAGAACAATTCAATGGACAAGTCAATAGTCAGTTGAACTGTTCAGTAAATGGTTCAAGTTCTTGTCACAGTAATGAAGAAGATGATGAAGACAACAGTCATGATGGTGATAATGAAAATGACCATAATGCTTTAGGGATTGGAGATAATTCTGTACCAACAATATATTTTTCTCATACTGTTGAACCTAAGAGGGTTTGTATTCTTTTAACTTTACTAATTTTTCATTTAATTTGAACATTAAATACCGTCTATGATATTTTTTAAGAGAAAAGTAACAGTGATGAATATTGATACTGACAAATAGGAAAATCATCTTTTGCCTCTTAATCTGACCAATTTATCTTAAAAGAAAAAAAAGGGGGGGGATATTCTAATTAGTTAGCTAGTATTGGTCCATAGTTCAGAGAAGCCACAATGTAATTTGAGCTGGGATCTGGAAGGGAGTCATATTTAAATTGAAGCTACTATGGCTCCACCTGTCCTTACTACAGAGAGTTTTCTTAAGAACTCTGTAGTTAATTATATTGTGGGCATTTTGGTGTGTTTAGTATGTTKGGAGTGACTATATTAGTTTAATTTTCTATTATGTCAGGTTTTTGTTTTCTGTGTCAGCAATCAATGAATAAGAACATCATGGACAAAAAGGAAAAATTTAGGAGAAAGTCAATTCTTCCTTTTCTAACAAATATAAACATCTGTATATGATGTGTTTAGAATTTGGGCATTTTAGAAGTGGAGATGATTGTAGAGATCTTTTCATCCAGGTTTTCAGATTTATCTTTTGTATCAAAAGCCTTTTTATTTCTTCCATAATTTTTGTAGAATTTCAGTGTTTAAAATAGATCAAAGCAGGCTGACTTTGGTTGAAGGAAGCATGGGCTACCTTAAGTATACCTCTGCCCTCTCTGTGCCCATGTAGAGTATAAGGTACCTCCAGGAATTCATCTTTCTAATTCAGGAAATCTTCAGGTCTACAAGACATAGAGATGGTAATAAATCAAATGTGCCTTTGACCCATGGTACTTGCATGCCTGTAAAAAAATCTTGCAAAAAGTCTTTCCTACTATAGTTATAATATGCTTGACATGTAGTTTTCCTTTTCAGAGTTCAGAACTATGGTTCATTGTTAAGTGCCTGTGATGAATAACCATACTTCATACATTTTAGGTTTTTTAAGTTATCCTTGTTCTAATAGGAAGTGAAATAATTATATATGTGTGTGTGTGTCTGTGTGTGTGCGTATGCACGATTTACACACATACACACTCACATATTCTAATACATCAAACTAAAGGGATCATTGGAATTCTTTGGGAAAATTTGACAGGAATGATTAGCTAGAAAAAAGTTTTGTGATGCTTTTAAGTTTTCTTATTTCCATTTAGATGAAACAGGAAGAATAAATAATATTTGTAGGAATGTTATGGGAAAGAACAGTTACTAACATAGAAAATGTGGCCTTAATGCTAAGTATTATAATCCTGAACAGGATTAGTTTTTAGTGTTCAGATCTTCAGTTTCTAAAATTAAAAATGTTTTAAATTTTTTGGAATACTTAAACATTGTCTGATATTACTTTATGGCTTAAATGTTATAGTCTTACTGAATTTTTCTTTTGGTTAATTGTGTCTTTGTTTTGAAATGTATGACTTAAGTCTAAAACTTATACCAAAGTAATGGAATGAAGTGAAGTGAAGTTTAAGATAAATCTAGCATTTAGTTTAAATGTTTTTTGCTTTCTATATAATAATAAAAACACGACTACAATAAGTCACTAAAGAAAATATAATTTTTAGCATTATAGAAATATGATAAGGACTTATTTACCCTACCTGATAATGCATATTATTTCAGTAATGAAGAATTTTAGCTCTATMTCTTCTTTAATTATACAATTTATATTTCATTTTGGTCCTTGATTTAATTTCCCAAGAGATTTTTAATTTTTTTGTTGTGAAATTTTTAGGTTCGAATAAATACTGGAAAAAATACCACTTTAAAATTCAGTGAAAAGAAAGAAGAAGCCAAACGTAAACGAAAGAACAACACTGGAAGTGGTCATTCTGCTCAAGAGCTGCCTACAATCAGGACTCCTGCTGACATTTACAGGTGAGTAATATCTGTCACAGACTGCAGTGTAATCTGCAGATTCCTTTTTTTCTAACTGGTCTTTTATAGGAAAAGATTGTTTGTAATCCAGAAGATTCTGAAAAATTAAGGGTTCTGATGAAGTTASCTTAGCATTTGAAAAGCGCCACTGCAACAGCCCAGTCCAAAGCAGTTGGAACGTTGTTATGGTTATTTTTTCATTTTCTTTTCTTCACTAGTGCCTTTGAAACATTCCCAACTGGTCTAGGCAAAAAGTCTTTCATCTTAAGTTTACAAATGAAAGCTAATACTTACAATGGGCTAGGATAATACTTTCTTTCCTACTATAGTTATAATATGCTTGACATGTAGTTTTCCTTTTCAGAGCAAAAATTAATTATACTGTTTCAGTTTTTTGTTGTGGTATTTGTTGAAAAAGTTATCATTTGAAACTGCTTAACTATTTTTGACATGTTTGTAAAATGGTGAAAATTGCAAAATGTCTTATTAGTGGGTATAAAACTACATAGAATTTTTGCAGATCACCTAGATGTTATCACCTACAATATGTTTATGATTAACATGCTATATTTTGTTAGACAAAAAAGTCATGTCTTCCAAAAATATATTATTTAAAGCTGTGAAATTACTTAGAATGTAAATATTTTAGATGGAAACTTTCCAACAAAAAGTTTCAGATTAATTTTTGAGGTTTAAAAAATTTCTTGTAAAGTTACTGTGTTTTATGATTTAAGGTGTGTGTATTTTTTCAATATAGAGTCTTTGTTGATGTTGTGAATGGAGAATATGTTCCTTGTAAATCTATTCTGAAGTCTCAAAGCAGAGAAAATAGTGTTTGTAGTGATACCAGTGAAAGCAGTGCTGCTGAATTTGATGATAGGCGGGGAGTTTTGAGGAGTATTAGCTGTGAAGAAGCCACTTGTAGTGACACCAGTGAAAGCATTTTAGAAGACCCACAACAAGAAAATCATCAAAAGAAACTTTTGCCATTATCAGGAACATCTGAGGTGTGTATCTCTATTTCTATAGTATCTTTGCAATTTTTACTATTTAGTTGGAAAAGTTATAGGATCTAATTAGTCTTAGATTTGTACTTTTTGTATAATAATTTGTTAAAAATAGTCACTAGCAAACACAATTGTGGTATTAGAATAGTTCAAAAATTTGTTTTAGTGAAATACCTGTTTTGAAGTTTTATTTTGGTACAGTGGCAATTTAAAAATATCTGAAGTGGCACATGTGGTATAACTTTTAGCTAGAAAATCATTTAGCAGTTTATATTAAATAAATTACCAGTGGACCAGACTATAGTCATTTTCTGTTAGCTTGAGTAGAAGTGCCTTGGTGCTTTGATGAAGGCACCAAGTGCCTTGGTGGAGTTGAAGAAAAACGTAAATAATTTTTCTATGTTTTGGCCTGTTCCAGTGAAACAAAACTTGACTGGTTATGGGATCATTTTCCAATCTGATGGAACCATCAGAAAAATTGGGGCACACTCATGTTTTGCCCACCATGTTGCATACAGTTATGTAGAAGTGGAAGACAGGTTGAGAAATACTGAAATAAGAATTCCTATCAATGAAATAATATGGTATAGTTTCCATTGTACCCAGATTTGATATTTTTATTCTTGTTTTGATGGGTACTTAAAGCTTTTAATTTATAAAGTATTTAGGAAGACTGGAAAACTCATACCTGTACCAAACCAATGTACACATTTATATATACATCAGATACATGTAAAAATATATTTATATATAAGTTTATTTGTAAAAATGTCATTGCTTATACTCTATGGTTCTGCTTGTACCAAATACACTAAAAGGTAATTGTGGATAGAGATCRTTAGCATTTAGAGGACCATACATAAAACTAGATTGGTCTCCTCTTCCCCCAGTAGAATGATCTTATGTGACCCAGAAAATAYCTTATTTAATAGTCTGCGATAATGACTGTTAGAAAACAGGTAATAGACTTTTGCCAATAAAAGCTTGAAAATTTGATTTTTGTGAGAACTTTAAAGTATCATAGTATAACTAGAGTTAGAATATGGAACTTATTTTCACCTATGAGCTTTGTATTTTATATTGAACTATTAGAATAGCTGTTATAATAGCTGTTTTATGTTAAAAAATAAATTTTTTAACATCAAAATGAATAGTTCGTAATTATAGCAGTGGTTTTAAAAATCATTCTCAGTATCTTTTAAATACCAAACGATTGGGTCTTTCAGAAGTGTTTTAAAGATGATATGAAGACTGTGCTCAGCATAATAAAATGGAGTTTCTAGAAAAGTAAGCTTTGGACTGTTTTTAAGAGCTATACTCCCCAAATATTTTGGGAAGAAGGTAGCATTTCTTGTTTAAGTGGTGGAGTAGGGTGGAGGATTGTGGCTTTTCAACTGTTGTCTTAACTAATTTTGAACATTTGATAGACAACGAGAAGCAAAATATGTATGAAAGTTTACATGTCAAATTTTAGTTTGTACTTAAGTTTTTAGAAAATGTAATGAGAGAGGTTTAAAATACCAGAAATCTTAAAAACAATTCCTGGGGCTAGGGTTGTGGCTCAGTGGTAGAGCGCTTGCTAGCATATGTGAGTCACTGGATTCGATCCTCAGCACCACATAAAAATAAATAAATAAAATAAATGTCTATCAACAATTAAAAAAACATAAGATATTGGCTAGCGGGCAGCATGGCCTCCGGAGATCATGTACCAACTGAAGCACCAGAGTCTGCATTTGACACCCTAATATCTTTTTTAATTTAAATACATATTGTTTCACAGTTAGATCTAGACATAATAGAATGTAAAAGCTTAGGGCCCCTTTATTTATCATTTTTGGTTTTTCCCAGACAAAATAGGCATTTTGCATATTGTTTCTTACATGTGTACTATAAAAATTATATTTTGGTGGTGTAAGTAGGAAAAATTTAATGGTACTCAGTTTCTCTCTGAACAATTCATATTCTGATGTTAAAATATTATATTTCCCAAAATCTTGTGAATTTACTTTTAGTGAGAATAAATGTCTAATTGGTGAATAAAGTAAAGATTTTATGGCATCTTATTTATAGGTTTATTACCATGAATCTGACTTTTTGTCTTCTAGGCTTTTTCTGGAACTGTAATAGAAAAAGAATTTTTATCCTCTTTAACACCACACCCAGCCATTGCTCATCCTGTACTACCCACCATTCCGGAACGAAAAGAAATTCTGTCAGAAGTATCAGAAGAAACTGCCAAAAGGGTTTCAAAGTTCAAAGCTGCCAGATTGCAACAGAAAAACTAGGAAATGGGAGTTTACATCCTAAAACCTAGTTGTGAATTTTTAGAATGTATAAGCAAAATATGTTACATGTAGTTTGAARTAAGGTGTTTTGAGTTAGTTTGGTAGCAAGTTCTCTTATCAGTGATATTACAAAAATCATAGTAAATGTTTGAATACATTAATATTCAGCTTGTTTCGTTAATTCTCTGACTACTAAGTTGGCCTTACAATTTTGAATTATTTTTCAAAGAACACAGTTCATATGCATTGCTTTTGTGTTTTAAACTAAATACAAGCAGTTTTGTACCAGCTGTGATGTTGTGTGTACCATATGGACCATTTAAAAGAATCTTTTAAGATATCAAATAGATTCAACAATTATATTACTTGCTTTTGCATTTTAAAGGCACTTTAAAAAAAATCTACTTCCCTCATAGGTTTTGTAAGCTAGGTGGCTATTTAAAAGAAAGAAAGAAAGAAAAACAAACAAACAAAAACCTCTTCCCTTTTAATGTCATACTGTAATCTTTAAGACAGAAAGCTACATGTATCCCATGGGAAAGTTTCTTTGACTGGAAGAATGATATTTTGTAAAGTATTTCTTTTCAAGTAAAAATTTTATGAAACTTGGTTTCTAAAATGTTGCGAACTTTATGATTTAGAACTGAATATGGAAATGTCTTTGATTCTTATGTGTATATACCACACAACAGATTCTTGAATTCTTACAATTCCATAGGAACTACTTCTCCCCCTTCTGTATAGTTTTCACTGGGATTTACCTTTGGGAGAGAAGGAAAGTTTGTCTAGATGCTTTAAAAAAAAAAAAAAATGAATGAATGAATTTTTCAAATAAAATTTTCTTATGTTTTAATCTTTCCAACATTTTCATTCTTTAAGCCTACTTTACTACTAGTAAATAACTAGATAACATATTTACTTTGTTACTTTGTAGTAAAATTCCTTAAAGATAAATTTAGTCTAACATTGAAAATTACACTGCAAGTGTTAATAATTAGCTTGATGCATGCTAAAATGTAGCTTTTAAAAAGCATTCTGCATTAGAACTAAAATAAGCCATCAATGCCAGTCCACCCTCTATTCATGGCTAAATATTTAAGGGTTATTTATAGCTTCTTTAATGAATTCTTGCTTAAACAAAGTGAAATTATGTCCTAGAAAAGTAGAAGCTATTTGTAACTAGAACAGCACAACTGTAAAAAGTTTTATGAATATGTATTTTAATGATAAAGGGGTGAGCTTGAATCCCCAGTAATTAATGGATCATTTAGAACAGAGAACTGATTTTGAAAGATCACCTAAAAATGTAGAAAATTTGTTCTTTAGTGAGTTCTGATCAGCTGTATGTTTTGTAGTTAAAAACAGGTTTTCTTTCAGTTCACCCTGTTCATAAACCAAATAGTGCAAACCACTCAAAAAAGTTCTCCCTTTCTTTCTCAATTGCTATTTAAGTGAACCTTTCTGTGCTAACACCCACTCCCTGCCCCTGGTTAAAACAAACTTTATTGTAGGACTGTGGTGGTATTTAGAGATGTATAATTTCAAGAGTATTGTCATTAAATATTTTTTCATGTTTATGAACTTAATTTTGAGCCTGCTGTTTATATAGTCTGTTACTTCCTTCAAATAATTTTTCTTTCATAGAATATGGTAGTAGAAACAACAAAAAGTGTTTGATAACATATTTTTTGTATGTTCTGCTCAAGACCATATGAAATAGTGTTGCCCCATTTCATAATTTCAATCTTATAGCAAAGTTTTACATTATAGCTTGAAGTTATTAAATTCAAATTTCCTTGGGACAAAATGAAGCTGGTCTTAAGGGTTCTGCTTTAAACCACTGTAAAACAGAGCAGCAGACCAAAACACTCTTTTCTTCACCTTTACTTTGAACTAATTTTAATGTACCACCAAAAATTGCACCAAACAGTACAGAGATTTCCTGTATGCCAGCTTCCCCCAACATTATAACATACAATGTTTCTACAATGATCAAAACTAGGAAATTTATATTGGTGTAATTCTACAAACTGCAGATCTTATTTGAATTTCACCAACTTTTCCACTAATGTTCCTTCCAGAATCCTGTATAGTACCCTAACTTTAATTATTATTGTTCCTTAGTCTCCCCTGATCTCTGACAGTTCCTCAGTTTTTCCTTGTCTTTTTTTTACTTGACATTTTTGAAGAGTACTGATTGTAGAATGTTCCTCAGGTTTTTTTTTAATATACTCACATGATTAGAATGAAGTTTTGCATTTTTGACAAGATTACTATAGATACACATCATATCAAGAGGTTCTTGTTAGAGATACCTTCTGCTGTGTCATTTCAAGAAATTTTTACTTCAAACTGTGAACCGTAATCACTCGGTTAAGATGATGTCTGTCATGGGCTGAGTGGCGCACACCTGTAATCCCAATGGCTCAGGAGGCTGAAGTAGGAGAATGAGAGTTCAAAGCCAGCCTCAGCAAAAGCGAGTCACTGAGCAACTCACTGAGACCCTGTCTCTAAATAAAATACAAAATAGGGTAGGGAAATGGCTCAGTGGTCAAGTGCCCCTGAGAGAAGACGTCGTCAGTGGAGCTCTGTCAGGAGGTATCTCTGCTGTAAAGTTTATATCTTTTCCTTTATAGTTAATATCTCAGGGGAGATCATTTAAGATTGTGTAAATCTTTTTTTTCTCAATGTGGAGCCCACAAATTTTGGCATCTATTGTTGGGTCTTGTCTGTAACAGCACTGTTGTATTTTCCTAATGGTGATTTTCTGTTTTCTCCTTTCCTTCTACATTTGTTTTTTGGAATTCTTTGTTCTAAACAGTGCCTCCACCCATACCCTGTTAATTTAATTTTTATATCAGTATGGACTCCTGGATATTTATTTTATTCTGTGGATTAAAATTCAAAACTATCATTGTTATGCAGCTCAGTTTGTTCTATCTTTGGCCATTAGGAACTCCTTTGCAGTTGGCTTAGAAGTTCATTCAACAACTTCTTTATTTTTTTCTTTTCTTTTTTTTTTTTTTTTAATACTTTCTTACCCTTTAACACCAAAAATTTTACAGGCTCTGCTTATATATTTACTTGTCCCAGCACTGGAATCAACCACTTCTCCAGGGAACCCTGTCTCTTTATTGGACAATGGGGCTTAGAAACCAACCAACATCTGTTCATGTATTTACTGTCACTGAGCTGTCATTGCTTCTTGTCCTTTTCAGATGAGAGAAATGTATGTGTATACTTACCAACACACTTTTGTATGTTTAATTATATTAAAAACCATGAGCTTATACTGATACTTGATTTTAACTACCATAGGACTTATGTTTTCAAGTTTTTCCTTGTTTGTGACTTCTTTTCTCCCATATGGATAAACCTTGGCTCTTATCTAAATGTATTTATTGTTTTTTGAGTGTAATACTCATTAGTTTGGAAATACTAATTTGTACCCATAGGAGAAACACATTTATTAAGTACATTACACTATTTAAGTATAGTTCTTTTTGTGGTAGCCTTATATTATGTGGAGAAATTGTTTCCCAAAGTTACACAGGCTCATTCTTGTCCACTCTCTTCATTGTAATTGTCTTTCATTTGTACCACAGCTAGTTTGTCATTCTCTGAATTCCATTGAGGCTTCTCTGCATATCCTGGTTGGTTTGAATGGTTTATTGGGGGGGGGGTCTGTAAAGGAATGTGAACATTAATTTTGGTTCTCAAGAGTTGGAGTGGTATGGAAAGGCATACTTAAGAAAAGTGTCACTCCCTTCCCTGTTTTCTTCTCTCTCTTCAATTCCACCTCCCTCCTTCCCATTCCCAGCTTCTCTCTGTTAAACCCCTACTTACCCATTTTAAGTAACTGATGTTTTTAGTTTCTAGTTTAACATTTCTTTTGCACAAAGAGCATATGTTTTCTACATATCTTTTTATATTTCTTTAGTGAAGGACACTCTCCACTGCTTTTTAATTAATGTTTCAATTAATAATACACCCTGGTAACGTCACCATGTCAGTTTATACAGACCTTATTCTTGTTTACAAAGATAGAGTACTCCATTGCATAGGTAGATCACTGTTTGCTCAGCCACTTTCCTATGTATGGGCATTTAGGGTGTTTCCTGTATTTTGCAATAACGTATAATGATGTAGTAAATCACTTTGTATTTTTTSTATCATTGGAGGTTTTATCTTTGAGGTAGATTCCTAAAAGTAGGGTAGATGAGCTGTCTGCACAATTAGTATATACTTTTTACTATTACTACATGTTTTCTTTAGCAAAATCTATTTTTAAATATATTTGTTTTGTTCCTGTATTGAGGATGTGTTTTTAACATATATGATTGCATATCTGCATTTTATTGAAGATTCTTTTTTTGTTTGTCTGYTGGGGATTAGAACCCAGGGCCTTATGCATACTAGGCAAGCATTTTACCACTGAGCTACATTTAAATAATGATTTAGGGAAAATATAGTGTCTTAAACGGACTTTAGTCATTGAAGTATATTGTGTTGTATAGTTATGCTCATTTTGCTACAAAATTTCAAATTACTTATGCTTGTGATTTATATGAATTTTCCATTTATTGTAGTATTTCCAAATTCATAAAATTCACTTATCTACTTATTTCACGGATTTGTCTTCTCCATAAGAAACAGCTTTCCAGGGTTAAAACTAATCTGTGTGTCCTTTAGTTGAGTGGCATATATACCCCCAGGTAAATGCCTCTAAGAATTCCTCAACTACAGTAAATATTTATGGCTTTTTGTGTCTAATTTATTGGTTGGTAATATCAAATTTTTACATTTTAAAATACTTTCTCAGTTATTTAAATTTTATTTTTGAGGAATATCAGGATAAAAATTTTTGCTGTTCCTTTAACCAATGAATCAGATATTTTTGAGCACTGTCAAACATTTTTTATGAACTTTATGTGAATTATTTTTCATTAATAGCCTAGTAATATGAGTACTACTGCTTTATTTTTCTCCTATTTCCCATTTTAGAGATGTGGAAACAAAGAGAAGGATACAGCTACATTTTAAATCATATG